AAAAAAGTTTGGGAAACGCTGATCTATACTATCCTTATAACTTTCCGCGCTTTTTTAAACTTATACTGTTGCTACTATAGCGCCACCCTTATTTATCACATTTTAACGGACACCTCTTCACACACAGAAACGGTTCTCCTTACCTCTACCCTACATACTTTCGTTGTAGGAAATCAAGGTTTCGATGATGAAATGTCTGTCAGTGTCAACGATTTGACTTGATTATTTTACAATGAGTTTGTTGAGAGTGTCTTCTGGCGATCGTAACGGAGAAAATCTAAAATGTGGACTGAGAGAAGTAATCGTTGAAGAACATACTGACAGTGAAGATTCTTCAGAAGGAAGGTAAGTGGCAATGCAACTTCAGAATGAAAAGAGTAACAACGAGCACCTAAAATAAGAGGTCCCAACTCCAAAACTATTGAAACAAAAATGTTTGTCATTACAATTACTACGACAAGACCTAGGAAAGCTGACTTTCAATTCATATAGGTCTTATTATATGATATAATGGCCATTAGCCTCGCCTTCTGGGTAGATTAAGTTGATAACTTCTCAAGCCACCTAGAAAGCAGTGCCATCAGCCGCCAAGTAATGTAGCAAAATCAATCCACCATCAGTTGGAATGGTGTCCAACTAATGGAGCTTCTGTGTGGCGAAACGCATTTCAAATAAAATCAATAGTGTTAAAATTGTATGATTATCAATATGGATAGAATTACTATATTTTTTATATTATTTACTTGAATGAGATTTGTTGATAACGATCCAGAAAATGTTTTTCAACTCTCCTCTTGTGAAACCTTGAGGGGCAGACCCCATTAACAAATGTCAGTGTCTACCAAGTCTTTTTTAAATGGCTAAATATAAAGACATAAAAATTAACATTAAAGTAATGTTCACTTTATAACTTTCATGGAGTACACCAAAACTATTGCATAATTTTTCTGTTGACTTTTAGATTACATAATGAGGCAATTCAATTTTTTATAACCCAAATGCAGTTGAGTTATTACGTTTCATGTGAGTGCAGTATATTTTGCAATGGGCGAGTTTTATCGAAGGTCACATCAATTAGTTTTCACGGTCAAGTCTAATAGGTCGAATAAATTTATGATGTTGATAGTATCATATAAAAAATATGCCTCAAAGTTTTGTTACCTTGAATGTTCAAGTTTTTCGACAGATTTTAGTATACCTATAAAATGATGAATCATGAGATATTTTCGAAAAAAAGTGACTATTTAAAAACACGTTCAATTTGTTACTAGTATCAGAAAGACATTGAGAGGATCTTGGTAGAGAAAAAGATTGAAATTTTCGGCATTACTTATGAAGAATAAAAGTAGGAATTATCAATCGTGATGAATGATATGATTTATAATAAAACTTATTCCATGAAATAAAGTTCTTTTTTTAACTGTGAAATAAGAAAAAACAAACTATTTGCCACTAGTTAGAGTTTAAAAATAAATAAATATGTAGTATAAGTAAATATTCAGAATTGGCAGATTTAATAACACTTTATNTTTAACTGATTATGTCGCCAATATAGATATATTGCTTTCTACTCATCAACTGATTTTGAAACCAATTATAAACTGAATCTCTGATACCTATATTATGCATTATTACGATCAATCGATTGATAATACTTTTCCTGCACTAGAACAAAAGTACGGTGGACACGTGTTTCGCTAGCCAAGTAAGCATCATCAGGACATGACTGAAACTCAAATGACTTTTATTCATCTCTATGATGATGCTACCTTGATTGGCGAGAAGCGTGTAGGAAAAGTGTTTTCAATAGAATTATTTCACTCCAGAGGTTTTGAATATATGAGTACCTATCAAATTACTATTATTTTCAAATAATTTTTGACCCTACACACTCATTTGCAGCTCAAAACGCTATTGCTCACAAAAATTCAATTACTACTGTTTTTGAATTATCTATTTACAACAACTAAATCCGAAACTAAGGAATGTAAAAGATAGACATGATCGTTTATCAATTAATTTGTTGCTTTTATGGACAATTGATTGCTTTTTTCATATCACCCCGCTGTAGTTTCATATAAATCATACCGTTGTCCAATTTTTGTACCGAAAGAAGCATATTTTTTAAATGTAAAATATTCACATTGCGACAAATATTAGTTTCATATCCTTGAAATTTTTGAACATTAAGTAGTTCTCACATTTTCAATTATTACTACTCTTCTAATTTACTTAGATCGATACATATGGACGTCGTCATACCGACTATTGGAACAATATCGCAATGCGCAAGCGACCCAAACTACCAACTAGCTATCCAAACCGAAGGCATGATCAAAGATATAGTCAGGCATCTTTCAGCAGAGGTAAGCCTATTGGAATATTTCTTTATACTTATGTGGAAAATAGACGGGCTGAAAAGTTTCGAGTCTAACACATAGATGGCGATAGTCTTATTGCGTTCACCTCTTTTTTAGTTAGTACTAACCTTCAAAAGAAAACTGTTGAAATTTCATGATTAGTCTGGGCTATAAGTTTAGATTCGTGTTAAATGGACATACTTTTAGTAAAATTAAGTGGTTAGGCTCATTCGATCCGGAATATTGTCTAGATCATTGTGAATACTGTAAAGAAAATAAAGAGATGGCAAACGATTTGATTACATCTAAAGATCTTTGTCCGATTTGTATAAAAATCCCGATACATCTAGAAATGAAGAAATCAGATGTTTTTCCATTAACATCCAATTTTTGCTTTTATATATTGAGCAAAATTTAATACGGTCCAAACACGTTAATACGCTTCAAAAAATCTGTTCTCTATCCCAAACTTCTTGTTACTATTTAACAAAAAAAACACTATTATTATCATCATGCAGATTTTGAACTTCATTTCAGGAATTTCCAGCTTTGAGGAGGTATTGCGCCGAAACAATCTTCAAATGCAGTGAAAATGCATCTACCAGGGATATGGTAAGACAGTCTGGCGGTTTGGATCCTCTAGTAAACATGGCTCGAGACCCAAAAACGAAAGAGGATAAATCACTATTGGCTGCAGTCACTGGTGCCATCTGGAAAACTGCAATCAGTCCAGAAAATGTGGAGAGATTTGACCAGTTGAAAACGGTGGAGGTGATAATAATAATAATAATAATGATAATTGTTCATTTCCATCAGACAATAAAATTGTGAGAGAAATTTCAATACAAAATACAAATTAAAAAGAAAAGGGGAGACATATTCAGACTCTGAAAATAATATGAATATAAGTTATTCAAATAATTCCTACAAAGCATAAGAACATTTTTCAAGTAAATAATTCTTTAACGCTTTTTTGAGCAAGGCATTTAAATGATCTGGAAGGTGGTTATTTATCTTTGGACCAATGTATTCCGTCTAGCCCTGATGAAGTGCCCATCATCGTACTCAAAAAGTGCGCAAATGAACTCGCACCAGTATTTTGCAGACTTTCCAACCTGTCTTACAAGAAAGGGGTTTTTCCTTCTTGTTGGAAGATTGCTCGCGTTCAGCCTATTCCTAAAAAGGACAAGAAAAATTTTACAAATAGCGATAGACCAGTTGCTTTGCTATCAGTGATATCAAAAATAATGGAGAAAGTCGTAAAGCACCTTATCCTCAAATATTTGGAAGGCTTCAACATTTTGAACAATCATCAATATGGCTTTCGGAAACAAAAATCAAGAGCTGTTGCGCTAGATATTTCTAAGGCCTTTGACCGTGTGTGGCATGAGGGTTTGCTAGCCAACTTCGACGCTATGACTTGTCAGATCATTTTTGCGTATGGCTCTTCAGCTTCCTGAAAGAAAGTTCCCTGCAAGTGGCCGTCGATAGGTATCTCTCGAATACTTTCACCATTAACGTTGATGTTCCTCAGGGATCTATATTGTCTCCAACCCTATTTTTATGTTATATCAACAACTTATTGAAAAAAACCAGGAGACCAATATATTGATTTGCTGACGACATCTGGATTCCAGGACATCGGCTACGGAGGCACATCTTCACCGGCAGTTGAAGATTGCATATCTTAATGAGGATCTATAAGTGATTTCGATTTGGGGTGAAAGTAACCAGGTTCAATTCAATGCCACAAAAACCCAGGCATCGGTTTTCTCCAAGGAGATAAATGTCTCCGAACCGAATATAATGTCAGGTCAGACAATTTCGCTTTCTGTTTCGATAAGTTTGTTGGGGGTTGAAATGGACACCAATATATCATATCGCTGAAATTGCAAAGGCTGCTTCTCGAAAGGTTGGAACACTGTTCCAAACCAAAAAACTTCACACACCTCAGCAACTTTTGATGCTTTATGAAGATCAGATCAGACCGTCTTTGGAGTATTGTTTTCATGTACGGATCTCTGCCCCCAAACATACCCTGGAGTTGCTGGATTCCATCCAGAAAAGAGCTATACGCTTGATTGGAGACGCTAACATCACGTGCGACATCGATAGCCTGGAACATCGAAGAAAGGTTGGAGATTTGTCTCTCTTTTAAAGATACTTTCACGGAAAGTGTTCGAATGACTTGGCACATTTGATTCCACCAAGAGTGATACATATCAGAAATACGCGACGAACTGTGGCTGCTTATCTTTTGATCGTTACTTTGAATCTAGCTAAATGCAAATGAAAATAGTTCTTGGTTCTACTATCATGTTGATGAAGTCTTAGATCTGTTTGTAAAATTTGATTTATTTTTGAACACATACGTACACTGATGAGAACATTTTTCAAGTAAATAATTCTTCAATGATTTTTTGAGCAAGGCGTTTAAATGATCTGGAAGGTGGTTATTTATCTTTGGACCAATGTATTCCGGTCCACAAGACGTTACTTTGAATCTAGCTAAACGCAAATGAAAATAGTTCTTGGTTCTACTATCATGTTGATGAAGTCTTAGATCTGTTTGTAAAATTTGATTTATTTTTGAACACATACGTACACTGTTCAACAATATAATCCGATGTCATTGTTAAGACACCATACACCTTAAAAAGTGGTTTGAATGGTTCTCTAAACAATTTGCTATGCACCTCAGAATTCCTCTTCGTGCTATGAAAACATTCCCTACTGTGGAAGATCCACCCCAGAAACAGACCCCATACCTAACCCCAGATTCTACTTGAGCGTAGATATTGTTCATAAGTTGATGAAGATATACTACAATGAATTATGTTTTGAAATTAATTAGTGACAGTGGGCTTTCCAGTTAAGGAACTCATTTAGAATGATTCCCAAGAATCTTACATTGTAATAGTAATAACGGTAGAGAATCAAGATGCTAAAGTCACAAATCAGAAACAAAGAAGTGATGAATATATGAGCCGTCTAGAATGAAAGTGGTGAAAGTCACTGTATCAGAAAATACACAATGTATAAACCATATATTTCAAGTTTGAAGTCGCTGCGTTGTTTAACAGTTATTTGACAATCATCAATAGCGAAAGTTTTGGGTGAATTTGTGAAAATTGAAAAAATTGGTCATTGTTATGTGGTACAATACTCTGGGTGAGTCTGCTCCTTCGTTTACAACAGTAAAATTTTGGGTAGCAGAATTTAAACGCGACCGAACGAGCTGCCAAGGCGAGCACCGCAGTGGTCGACCAAATGAGGTGACTCCAGAAACGGTGAAGAAAATCCACAAACCGGTACTGAATCATCGTCGACGGAAAGTGCGCGAGCTAGCTGACTGAGTAGGCATCTCGAAAAGTGCGTTACATCGTATATTATCTGAAAATTTGGACAGGAGAAAGGTGTGTGAAAAATCTGTGCCGCGTTTGCTCACAATCGACCAAAAACAGTGTCGTGAAGATGATTCAATTGAGAGTTTAGTGAAGTTTCACAGCAACAAAACAGAATTCTTGCGTCGTTTCATAACCATGGATGGAACATGGGTCCATCATTTTACTCCCGAGTCAAAAGACAATCAAAACAGTGGACTCAAAAGAAAGAATCGGCTTCAAAGAAGGCGAAGACCGTTTCATCTGCAGGGAAGGTCATGGCATCGGTAGTCATTAACTATCTTAAAAAAACGTAAAAATATCAACGGCGAGTATTCTGCGAACTTATTGCAATATTTGAGAGAAAAAATCAAGCGAAATTGGCCGCTTTTGGCTATGAAAAAATCATTGTTCCATCAAGACAATGCATAGGTCACAAATCGATTATCGCAATAACCAAAATAAACTGATTAAAGTTTCATTTGCTATCCCATGCCAGATTTAGCCACCTTGGATAATTTTCTGTTCCCAAACTTGAAAAAATGGATCAATTTCCAAAGATTTTCCCACGATGAAGGAGTCATGTCGGCAGTCAATGTCTCGTGATCCAAGTGTAGCCTGGCTGTCTGTGACAATATTGATCCGCTCATTTCGTTGAGGCCTCAAATTAATTTCTTTTGCGCAAGATTGCATATACTTCAGCGAAGAAGACTGATAGTACCTACCTATTGACCAAGTGGGTAGCTGAAATGAAGATTTCTTCCCGCACAATGAATTCCAGCTCCAGTTACTTGTTAGTTTACGACCCGTCTGCATACCAGATGTTCCTGCTGAGCATTTTCTCCATTCTTTGCGGTTTGAGGCTTCAATCGCAGAGTTTCAATTTCAAGAAATCTTCTTTCATGTTAATTTCGTATTAAAACAAGCCACGGCATTCTAATCCACTCTTCAAAAATAATGATGAGACAAATACAGAGAAATATATTTGTGGCGATAATTACTTTTTTCGCCGGTTAACAGAAAAACCGATTCTTTAACGGTTATTAACCTACTGCTGATACCTGATTTTCTGTCTGGAATATTCATTTATTCATTACTTTCTTGTTACTGTTTGTATTGTTATTGACTTGTTAATTTCCTCTTTATGAACAAATTTTATGTTTCTTGGGAAATAAATGGTTAGTTAATAACGCAATGCCACATAAGCTTCGTAATAATCAAAATTAATTAGCAAGAATATAATCATTCGTTTATATTTTCAGAACCAACAGTGAATATACTTAACAATGCAGTTCATGACTCGTGGTATTGAGTTTCATCATTATTACAATTATCGTCTGAATTATATATCCGTAGTAATTGAAAAATACTACAATTAATTATTTCATTCGTGAAAATAAAATAGAGTGATACCAATTTCTGGTTAAATATTTTGTCTGTTAATATAATCACTAAAATAATTGCTGAATATTTCATTTACAGCTGAAAAATATTTTTAAAAGCTACTTATTGTTATCCTATTTCACTTTCAATCGTTGGTCATTCCATAAAACAAAAATTTCTACATTGTATAATCCTGTTACCTTATCATGATGTAATCTTGAGGAATCAAAGATCGCAACTAACAAATGTTTCGAAATTCTTGTTATCATAGTTTATGACAACGTTATGAATCAGGAATATGTCTACAAACTTCTAGTTCCACTTTCGAAAATAAATAAATCATTATTTGTTTCTATCAATATCATATTTTGACCAACAAATGCTTCATTTTGTTATTATAGTCACTGATGATTTTATATATATCAAGAATATTTGTACAAACCTTACTATCTAATTCTGAGAATGAATGATGAATTGCTATTTGTTTCCTTCAATATTATAATTTGGAATTGTTGGCCTTCGTCATTATTTTTCAGTGTTCCGCAGCGATGAGTGGTTGACATTTTCAAAAGTAGTAACTGTCACTGAGGCTTTATGACATGAAAATGTCAAAAACTTATGAAGGCAAAACATTGAAAATTATGCAAATAGATGATCCACAGAAATAGAAATACACGGATTATCAGCAAATTGAAAACAGCTATAAAATTTTTTGGCAAATCTGCTCGACGTCATCAATTTAAGGTTACTGAGATATATCAGTTAATTACCAGTTCACACATTCGAAATACTATTCAGTAACGGGGAGATATTCAGTTATGTTTGATCATTCAGTAAATGACCCGAATTCTTAAATCTATTTGTTTCTAAATATTCTAAAAGATTGAGTCTCAATACTTTCTCTTCTGAAATAAACATGTCTTAGTCGTGATTGCTCATGTCCTTCTGCTAAAAGATAGTTTTCAAATGTGCAATTGATCTTTTCATAAAAATCAATCAATTTTATATTACAATGAATTTTAAAATGCTATACAAGAATAAGAAATCTCCATTAAATTGAAAGAGGTAGGAATATTTTTAGGAGGGATATAGGTTTTGTCGAAAAAAGCTTTTTGACTTTCATTTCTCCATCTCTAAACAAACAATTGTGTGTATTCAATAGTTGTCCCGATAATAATTTGCTATACTCTTTCTGTTTTGGGGTACAAATAAGATGTTATAGGTGTTGGTGAAACTGCTAGAAAATGTAGAAGAAGATGAAAGGGTCCTGAGTAACGTAGTTGGTGCTCTTTGCGAATGCCTCAAGTTCGAACATAACCGAAGCACTTTGAGAAGGGCGGATGGAATTCCTCATTTGGTGAACCTACTCAATTACACCTATCCACCTCTGCTTGAGAACGTACCGATGGTTCTGAGGGAATGTGCCGAAGATGAAGATTCTATGAGAGTCATTGAAGAGTTAGATGGGGTTCGGCTCATTTGGTCTTTACTCAAGAACGATTCGACTAAGGTTGGTAGTAAAACACCTTACTGTAAAGTTAAACTGGCATTTCTGGCGTAGAATCAATCCAAAATGAACACTGCTGCTCCATATCAGAACTGCAACAGTCTTCTTCACGTGTGTTTCACCAACCCAGTTGGCGTTATTAGAAGTTGAAAATAAGGTACTTCGGGTAAAACCGAAAGAGCATTTGTAGTTCTGATGTATGGGAGTAATATTTGTTTTGGAGAAAATATCTCATCAAATAATTGTAAGTGAAGATTTGTTCGTTTCTGTAAAATGAATGAATTGTTTACTTCAACATTGCAAAAGTATGAAATAAAAAGTGGACAATATACAATATGGGTCCTACATATATGGACGGTATTCGAGAGAAACTCACTTTAAAAATGAAGCATTCTCGTATTTTTTCATTGTTTCCGGAAAATATATTGTGATAGTGGTGAAATTCTGGATAGCCAGTGTCTCGAAAGTTATAGATCCATTGAGTCGGGCAAGCACATTATTCTCTGGTTGTGCAGTTCTTTATTTCCATTCATTATTAGTTTGCATTTATTGCGAGCAATAATAATACTGATAAGGTGTTCGACGAAAGGAGTTTTGCTTGCAATTTTATTGCTTGATTTTTTATCGTAAGATATTATTAATTGAGAAAAGAAAGAAATATAAACATTATACATCCATTCCTGATGGAATAGCTTCAATAACCACCACATGATGATGTAAAATTGGAGTTGAAATACATGTCAAGCGCTGAAATGTTATTGAAGATATTCCACATGCAGTATTTTTGTAATTTCAGTAACCTATTTTGTATTGTATACATCTAGTTCTATGAACTACTTCTATTGGTTTTCATCAGCTTACATTCACATTCTTCAAACATCAGGAATAATATCCCGAAGTAAATAATCAGATTAATGATGTACTTTGTCTTTATTTTCAGTTTTGGTCTATGGTATAATTTTATAGTGACCATAAGAACAATAAAAATTTATTTTACGCAATATATTTGGATAGTGAAATATGTTTTCGCTGTGAAATTCAAATTCTTTTTGAAGGACTACGGAATTTTCAACATTCGCATTACGTAACTTGATATTGGTATGCAAAAAACATAAAATTGGGAAGAAAGATTCATATTTTTCACTGTTATTCAAAATATACTGCTGACATTCTTACTCAACTGAATCTACAGATACGAATAATAATTTTTGGAAACTTTATATATTTTAATGAAAAATGACGTATATGACAAGATAGAAAATTATTAAGAAGATATAAAATATAATATAATTAACAATAGTTACATTTCATAGACCATATGTCAACGTAAAACAAATGGACGTGTCGCCATTTAATTAACGTCTGATAAAACTCCCACGTTTCAATTATACAACTGAGAGAAAGAAAGTAATATTCATTGGACTCTTCAATAGTATTTTGATTGCCTTTGAAAAATTATTCTTTGGAAAATTTTTATTTTAGTTTGACCTAAATTTTTCGTGACATCGTTTTGTCATTGAAAGAATTAAGAAAATATCGATAAAAACGTAAACGACAATTTTGGAAAGTGGTTAAAACCATAGTAACTCAAACAGACAAATAACATGTCATAACTATTTGTAACGTCAGAAGGAATGTACTCATAAGTGAATTTGGCGTGATACTATATCCCTTTCTTGTAATAGAAGGAAAACTAATTTCATTGAAAATTTCAATAACTATCAAATATCACGAACAGCAGCTGAAACTTTCATGGTCGAAGACCTTCGTGAAGAAATACTAATGAAATCAGCTGTATTCTCACATCGAACTGACAAAAACAACGATCGAATGTTTAAAAAACGAAAGCGTAAGGTGTTTTCAGAGATATACTGAATTAACTGTTTGATCCTGAATAATGAAAGGAATTCGACAGGGATTAAAGTGAATTGTTTGTTGGAAGACGACGTGCAACCAAATGAGTAGACGTTTTCAATAATTAACTGTAATTCTTGTCGAGTTCAGGATTAAATTGACAGTTTTATATATCTGAAAACCATATACAACTCAGTTCGTTATTTTCGACAGAGGATTCAGCAGAATATTCGAAACCAATCATAATGAATAATCGATTGAAGTATAATTCAAACATAATCTCCGTTGAAGATATGATTTTCTTCTGATCTAAAAAATGATATGAATATATTAAACTTGTTTTCTCATTCTGAATGTTCTGCCAGTTGGAACAATATATATCTTAGGACAAGTTCCATAATTTATATTATATTATTTTTAAATAACTTTCCCGACGTATTACCTGTTCCACATTCAATTTTAATATCTTGATTATTTAAAAACGAAGCAATGAACAACAGATCCAAAGCTGAAATAATGAACAAAATACTTTCCAAAAAAACCTGCGCAAAAGCGATGTTTTTCCAACTTATAAATCTGATGTTCAAAATTATGAAAACTTTAACATATTCAGAAAAAGTGGCTTCATTTTTTAATCAACCAGGTACATCATATGAGCTATGTAAATGAGAAAACAAGTTCAACATAGTTAAATTATCTTTTGGAAGAAAATCATATCTTCAACGGAGATTTTGAAATTTTACACATAGAAAATAAAGGTTTGAAGCTTAACCATTTGGAAACAATGGAAATTATTAAATCCGAAAATTGAATCCCTCTATGTTTTTTTCCACTTTTATTTGTAACTGACGTTACTGCAGTTACGTCAACTTTTATAACTATTCCACCTAAAAATAATTTACCTTAATTTTACGTTCTTGAACGTTGTTTATCGATACAAGGTCGATATTATTTCCAACGGTAACCGCTCATCAATCATTGTTTTTTACATATTTCCTCATGGTCGCCTTTCATAACCAAAACATTGTAGCTGATATGACTGTATGTCGTAATGTCTGATAATTTTTACTATAAACGTAGGTTAATGTGTATGCATTTCAAATAACAAGAAAAACTAACTTTGTTCGATGAAAATGGTATATTTATCAAAAATGGTTTTTATAACTTCAAAAAAACAATCGAAACTTCTATTTCAAAAATTGTGTGAGATCCTCAGAGCTTAGCCACAGAATAACTCACAAAAGAGATACTTATACTTTGATGTAGAAGGGTCATATTTCTCATAGCACTGGCTACCAGACCACTATATCGAGATCAATGTGCGTACAAAACGAGTATAACAACGGAAACAGAAAAAGTTAAATTAGATAATATAAGGTATTTTAGTGCTAAAAAACGCAACTATTCCGTGTTAGATGTGGTTGATAACATTTTTAGCGGTAAATTCAACTTAATAGAAACCTATCCGATATATAATTTTATTGCAATGGAGAAAATACCACAATCCTAACATTTCAACCATACTAGCTTTATTTTACATGTTCAGGTTCACTAACAACTCAATGAAATTTTTAGATTGACAACTATCACCTTCAAGATTGTCAAAAATATTAATGGTTACTGTTTCGTTGTGAGTGTCTTTTCAGTGGGGTATTCTGTGGTTTGGCACTTCTAGAATATTCATGCAGAACATGAAATCAGATTCAGTGGAAGCTCTAAGATCAATTAGAGATTGAAAAGAGAGTACTTGACAGACATAGCACTGGCTACCAGACTAGTATATCGATATCAATGTGCATACAGCGTTCAAGACGAGTGTGTCAACGTAAACGGTTTCATCGGATTACAAAAAAAGTGAAAAACGTTTTTCTCAAGGAAGTAAGTACGTTTAGCTGCTTTGTGATCGACGAGACAAGCTACAGATGAATAATTAGCTTACATAACCATTATGAGGTGAACGGTAGTAGCCTGAGTAAGTGGCTGTCTTCTGGAGAGTGTTTGTAGTGACCATGGAAACATTCAACCAGGATAATTTGATATAATTTGAAACCAATGGCGTGAAATGAATCTATTGAAAACACTTTTCCAACACCTGATTGTATTTTTGATCCAATGTGAAAAAAGTGTTTCCAAAAGCATCACATCCTATGAGAATTTGAATCATTAGATCACAAAGCAAGCAATTTATAAGCAACCAAAATTATGTACAGTAATATAACAAACATCCAACAAAGAACTGTCTTCTGGAATGTCATGAAAAAATGAGATGAAAAACACAATAGGCCCACGATTTTGTTGTATTTTTCAGAGACTTGCGAAAAAACAACCAGTCAAATGGTTTTCAAGTAACAGGAAAAGTGAATTGGTGAATGTAGCCGTTATTACGTGGTTAGAGATCATCATGAAAAATGGGAAATAAAACTTTATGTGTTTTTTGTATTTGTATTTGCAACTAAATTTACTGAAGTTTCGTCCTACATAGACATTTTCAAACGAATATAATAAACTAATGTATTAGTGCCCTAAGTTTGGTACTTCCGGTATATAAAACTACTGATTCTAGACCTAACTCGGTCATAAAAATGTCATTTTCTATCTGATGAAGTTTATAAGCAAGATCACAGTGCAATACCTTCATATAATGGTGCAGGATACTCCTTTTTGGGGACAATGTTTTGCACTCTTCTTTCAGCCAGATCACTGGGGCCTTCATCATCGCCTTTTCTGCTGCTGGTGTTTTTTATTCTGGTTCACGTATTTCTGGGTAATTTTTCTTCTTAGGCACTCTCGGTTGAACCATAAGTTCTGCAGTACTTGATGATACCTCATTTTCAGTTTGAAGTAGTATGTGGCTTGTCTAGCTGTACTTGCTTTATCGTAATCTTTTGAAAAATATCCTTATAGGACGAAACTGTACTAAAGTTAGTTACAAATAAAATGCATTCTGAATTCAGCAGTTATTTTTTTTCCTAATTCTCCTCATTATCACAGATTTGAAGTGTTAGATTCCATTTATTCATATGTTTTGAACATCAACTAATGTCATTTTGTCATGAAACAAATTAACAATTGAATACTAAACGAATATTTTTCAAGGTACAGGCAAATGCAGCCTGGTCCCTGGTACCATGCATCCGATACGCAACCGATTCGGGAGAAATGGTCAGATGTTTCGTGGGCGGTTTAGAGCTCATCGTCAATCTCCTCAAATCCTCTGACACGCATGTACTAGCAAGAGTGTGTGCCGCTATCGCCGAAGTGGCTAAAGACATAGAAAATCTGGCTGTGATCACAGATCACGGAGTCGTAGGAATGCTAGTGGATCTGGTAAACACAGAAGACGTGCAGTTAAGGCAGCACTTGGCTTCAGCTATTGCGTATTGTTGTGCTTGGGGGTCTAACTGCAAAATGTTTGGCAGGTGAGTCCACTAATAAAATAGTTGTTAGTCTTTTGGTGATACGGGTCGATTTCCAGTTGTATTTTTTATTCAATCTTTTCGACAACCATAGAAGACGCACTTGTGTCATCTCGTTGAAGAGGAGACTACTGGAGTCGAAGGTCTTTTTCCCAGATGAGTAGACATGAATAGGAACTTTGAGCATCATTCCATCAAAGACATTATGATGAAAATTTTTTGCCAAAAAAATTATCCTATCAAATTTGTCTATTTCTAGTCATGTGTGTCGAAATAACCAATGAAACCATCATTACACTGATAACTACCCATGGATAGTTTTCACGGGTAGTTATCACTTACGTCATGACATTGCTAAGCAACCAACACAATAAAGTTGTTTGACATTTCAGTAATTCAATTTATTTCGAAAATGTCACTTCCTCGCTTTGGTGTTCAAAATGATGCGGCAATTGACAAAATCATTGAAGAAAATACACCAAAAAATACTGTCAATAGTAAAAAATACACTTGGAAAATATTTATGGAGTTTTGTGACGCCAGAAAATATGAATTGGATGGAAATCGTACTCTCGAAGAGCTTGCATTGATACCCAAGGATTGGGCGATTAATATGAGAAAAAAGGATAGCACAGAGTTTAAGGAGGCTACTGTTAAAACCGTATGGAATATAACAAGCAAATTATTACAAGAAAAGTATTACAAGAAGTATAATATCATGCTAGACCCCTTTAAAAGTGTTGCATTCAAACAAGCGCGGAATGCACGCGACGCAGCACGAAGAAATTTACAAACAGATCCCACTAAACGCAAAACAAGCTCAGGAACATCATAACCAAATAATCAATAGTATGCGTGGAAACACCTATGCAGTAACTGAGGCAAATACAGCAAGATCAACGGAATATCATTATACGAATTGTTCTTTTAATAACTGTGTGTTCAATAAATAATTTTGTTCGAATTGCAAAAAATTTTCTCACCGAATATCCCTCGAACATTGATAAATAACTCATAATTTTATCACAACTTTCTCAAGCACGTTATTTTAGGTATAATCCCATCGCCTTCGGCGTCGGGATGTTACCAAATAACGTGCTTTCGAAAACTGTGATAAAATTATTTCGTTAGTTATCAATGTCCTTGGGATATTATAGCTGAAAACCATCGTCTTGAGTATGGTCAACGTAGTGAAAAAATTCGACCGATGTTTGTCACACTTGAAACCGAAACTCAAGAAGAATGTTGGTCTTATTGGTCCTGAATATCAACTACTACGTCCAGTAACCTGTAGCTTCGACAGGCCGACGAAGGAAATGACACAGGATGAAGTCCACTTTACCAAGTGTCACCTCCATTCCGGAATAAATTTCACACTTCAGGTGAAGAGTATGATTACCAATTCAGAAACAGATTTATGCGCTACCTGCGAAAGTCTACAGATGACTTTGAAATCTCAAGACGACAACTAATATCACTAGATAGTAACAATCTAGTTCAATAAGACCTATTACTGAGGCACTAGAGAAAAAACCTCGAGGCGCTTCGAGAGTGGTGCCTGTGCGGAAGTAGCGATTCACCTTGGATTTTAATCGTTGTAGATTAAATCCATTTGTAATAACGTTCGCAGGAAGTTTATTCAACATAAACGCAGTTCTTAAACAGTGAAGTTCGAAATGTTCTGTGTTGAACCTCAAAACAATGAGCAGCCACAGTCCGTCGTGTATTTCTGATATGTACCGCTCTTGGTGGAATCAAATATACCAAGTCATTTGACCACCTCCCGTGAAAGTATCTGTGAAATAGAGACATATCTCCAACCTTTCTTCGATGTTCCAGACTATCAAGGTTACAAGTGATGTTCGTGTCTCCAATCACGTGGATGGCTTTTTTATGGATGGAATTGAGCAGCTTCAGGGCATGCTTAGGGGCGGAGCTCCATACATGAGAGCAATACTCCAAAGAAGGTGTGACCTGAGCTTTATAAAGCATCAAAAGTTGCTGGGGTGTGTACAGTTTTCTGGTTCGGAACAGTGTTCCAAGCTTTTGAGAAGCAGCTTCTGCAATGCCAGCGACATGATTGTACCAAGACATATTGGTGTCTATTTTAACCCCCAATAAGATTATCTAAGCAGAAAGCGGAATTGTCCGTCCTGATATTATTACATCCGGTGCGGAGAAAACCGAGGCCTGAGTTTTTGTGGCCCTGAGTGCAATTCAGGATACTTTCAACCCGATTCGAAATCACCTCTAAATCCTCATTAAGATATGCAAACTCCTGCTGCCGGTGAAGATGTTCATCTGCAGCCAATGTTCTGGAATACAAATGACGAACAAGTTTACTGTCGACAGCAAAGCAATTTATTGGATTCTTGTTTTTTTCCAATAATTCGTTGATATACAATATTTAAGACCCGTTGGAGAACCATGATGAATCCTACGACTCATCGGCCGATAAAAATTCAACAACCACTACCATAATGTGAGTTTTGTGACTATTGAATCCAAAAAGCAGACAACCTGAGAAAACGCAATGACAGCTTTCTCCATTTGTATGGCAGATTTATAACCTTTCACGACAAACTGGTATAATCTTAGGAATAGAAAGTAGGGAAGGTATCTTTCAACAAAGAAGTCTTAGAACAGAGATGTCACGGCCTGAATTATTATTATTATCACTAACTCCTTTGGCGTCTTGAATGATTCCCAACTCGAAGCTTCTTTACAATATGAATCATATGAAATAAGAAATAATAATCATCATAATAATTACAAATTTTCACAATATGGAGTTTATTTTCAATACGCGTTTTCACTACAATAGTTTCCGCAATTGGACTGGTGAACTGAGGAACTGGACACCAGTTCAACTGAGGACACTTCTTTTGTAATGAAACGCATATTGCAAATAAAATCTATATTGTGAAGGTTCATAATTATTACTATGAATAGTGTTGAGGATTTCCACCAATTAACAGGTCAGCGCATTCAAATTATAGTTATTTATGTATCAAGGGAATTAGGAGGGCCTTAATTACCGATGGCAAAGTTTGCGTCACAAGAGCCTCTGGCCCGAGGGACAGCAATTGCCTGAGGTTATTAAGGCTCATTAATTCCCGTGGTACATAGATAATTTTATTTCTGACCGATTTCAATAAAATTTTGTTCATTTTTGAAACGGAAAAATGTACCAATTCATTACCTTCCCGGTATATTTGAATCAGGTACCGTTGATTATAGTAGAGTTTTCTTGTTGCTAGGTTGTTGCTATGTTACTTGTTTATAAACAGAACTTTGTTATCAAGCTGTGTTTGCGGTGAAAACGTGTTTTCTACCCCAAATATAATGGAGGATATTTTGAAAAAAGCTGAACAAGCAAGAGAATCATTAATTCCATCGAAAAGTGAAGCCGTATANTATTTTCATATTTGTTTTAATCTTATATAAAACATTTTATGTATGTTGTATGTTGTTTTCTTCTATTTATTGGAGTTGCACTTATATTGCAATGTATTTTTCAAACTAGAAATTTTTATTTTCAATTTTGAACTATATCTACATTTTGAGTTTTTATAATTATTTTCAAATTCTATAATGTTTGTAATATGTTTTTTATAATATTGTATATTAGGGTTACCTATTTCAATTAATATATTCCTCTTCTTCTTCTACAATTTGCAAAGCGACTTTTATTTCATTTGATTTCAACATCAACTTCATTTTTTTAATACAGACCTTTTCATCGATTTTTAGAGCCACCGTCATAACAGAGTCAGCAACGTATTACAATACATGTGTTTTCCGGCATTTTTTTCCATCATCACTGTATGGTCATACAAATCCCGGTAAGAAGTACCTCAAAAAAATAGGAACTAATATTTTTTGAATCTAGAACTCAAATCTGCATATAAACTACACATATCAGAAGAAAATGTAATATACCAAGTAACAAATAGAAAAAAAATCAGTCAAAATACTCCTAACATCTACGTTCTTCACTATATCTCATTGAATGTTCAAATTGCCATCCATCGGCCGCCAATAGTATTTTTACGGTAATTTTTCAGCATTTGTGGAGTTATATCCATGCAAACTCCCTTCATTTTTTTTTAAATTCGTCAATATTGCCAAAAGTTGAGCCAGATACCTTGCCTTCAATGAAACCTCACAATGAAAAATCCAGAAGGGTCAGGTCAGGTGAACGTGGAGACCATTTAATGGGACCCTTGTTTCCTATCCACCGTCCTGGCAAAGTTGTATTGAGAAATTCTCTGGAAATAGTTTTGCAATGTGACGGAACTCCATCATGTTGGGAATACTAATATTTTCTCAGAATATTCAGAGGCAATTCTTCCAATAACTCAACTAGAGTCTACGACAAGAATTCCAAATATAATCCTCCCGTCAAAGATGTCTCAAAAACGCAGGGACCTATTATATTGGCGTCTAGCACAGCGAGCCAAACGATAACTCCATCCTTTTTGAAAATCATTTGCTCTATGTAGGCTGAAATTCCCTTGTCGTCGGGGATAATGTATATTTCTGCTAAACCATCCGTTATTTGCGAATCTACTCTCCTCACACCATGAAATTTCATTACAGATTTCATTATCCTGACGATGATGTCTGAGTAGCCATCTACAAAATATTTTTCTCCTATCATAGCCTATTATACGCAAATTAGGATTTTCCTGACCTAAATTATTTCTTCTCAAAATTTATTGAATTGACGAAGTCGATATAGCACTATCATGTGCAATCTCTCTATCCCACTAATTTTTTTGTTCTCAACTTTTCGGTATTCCACAAATCCTGAATCTTAAACATATCACTCCGAACCGGATATAATGAGGTCAGACAATTCCGCTTTCTGCTTCGATAAGTTTGTTGGGGGTTAAAATGGGCACCAATATATCTTGGCACAATCATGTCGCTGGCATTGCAGACGCTGCTTCTCAAAAGTTTGGAACACTGTTCCGAACCAGGAAACTGTACACACCTCAGCAACTGTTGATGCTTTATAAAGCTCAGATCAGACCTTCTTTGGAGTATTGTTCTCATGTATGGAGCTCTGCCCCCAAACATACCCTGAAGTTGCTGGATTCCATCCAGAAAAGAGCTATCCGCCTGATTGGAGACGCGAACATCATGTGGAACCTTGATAGCCTGGAACATCGAAGAAAGGTTGGAGATTTGTCTCTATTCTATAGATACTTTCACGGGAGGTGTTCAAGTGACTTGGTACATTTGATTCCACCAAGAGCGGTGCATATTAGAAATACGCGACGGACTGTGGCTACTCATAGTTTCAAGGTTCAACTCAGTACACCTCGAACTTCACTGCTTAAGAACTCTTCCATTTGGAAAACTGCGTTTATGTAGAATGAACTTTCTGAGAACGTTTTCCCAAATGGATGTAATCTCAATTCAAATCCAATGTGAATCGCTACTTTCGCACAGGCACCGATCTGGGAGCGCCTCAAGGATTTTCCTGTAGTGCTTGTATGTTTTTAAAAAATGTCTTAGAGAACGACTCCAAAATTAGTGAAAAATGCTTCAAATTTTTGGAAAATATGAAATGACATCTACGGACGGCAAAGAAGTCCATTCTGAACAGCCCGCTGTTTATTCTCTTCGATAATCATTACAGGTAGAAAATAGGTAAATATTAGGTGTCGTTCCAGGTGGTCATTTACAAATAAGTTAGGAATTACAGTACAATAACAAAAAGACAAAAAATATTGTAAGGAATTAATTTAATGACACTCATTTAATGACGCTCATTGTAAAAGGTGATGGTTTTTCTAGATTTATATAGGAACTCTAACATAGCTGTGTTACGTTAGAGTTTTTATATCAATCTAAACAAATGAACGATGTACGATGCTAAATTTTTACCATCGTAATGTCAGATCACTGCTAATAATAAAGGGCACTACTTATAATCTAACAACCTAAGCACCGGAGTGCTCAAAAACATTAGCATGCATAGTGCACGTGATCTCCCAGACAAGGCTGCTTGTACAGAGTCGCATTTACAAACGACCCAATTTTGTTAATAATAGGCGGCTGGGTATAGGACATTTTTTCGTGTGGAGTGCAGGTACACAAATTAACAGTTTCTTCAGCCATATCAGTACCTGACATTTTGAGAATTTCAAACTTTAAAATACCTTATATATAGAGACCACAGGCGTTAAAACGTAACTGATCACTCCGACTCTGTAACATGAATTCCGCCAGCCGAATGCACTGAAATCTGATTGGCCAGCTTGAGGAGGCTTGTTTATTTTACCCAATAGATGCAAATGTGCTTGGTGATCATGTTTTGATCACGCATCTATCTTTTTTAGGTTACTTTGTTTGTTGGACAGATGTAGTTAAGATTGTGACAATACCGCTCGTTTTTCAAGCGAGACTCGACAATATATAACACAAAGGCATTGCACATAGACATTCTAATGTTATCATTTTCTGCTAGGTTGGGAGCTATCACACCGTTGGTGCAGTATATGGCAGACGGAGATCCGGATGTACACAGAACGACAGCCCTAGCACTGTTCCATCTCTCTAAGAATCCATTTAATTGCATAACAATGCACGAGAGCGGAGTCGTCCCCTTTCTTCTGAAAGCAGTTTCTTCTACGGATTGGAAGTTACAAGAAGCGGCTGCTGGTTGTCTAGCCAACATCAGGAAGTTGGCGCTGGAAGCGGAGACTGTTCACTTGATAAGACATAAAGACTCTAGCGATGAAGAAGACGCAGATATCTGACTACTTTATCTATTTTTACCTAGATTATTAGCATTATATTTTTAACCAGTTTCATGTTTTATTCGATCTATATATACACAAAACGAGAACTTTCCAATTTTCGTTAAACTAATTTTTGTCGGTAGTATTTGCGAGAGGAATTGTTCGAATTGGTTAAACAGAAGTTTTAAACTTCCACGGCTGGAAGTAAAATTCGAACTTCAGTTATCAGGGCCTGGATAGCCGTGGTCCAATGGAGAGATTCACTCTGAACGTTTGGCCCACTACTACTATGGTAATCTTCATCGATGGTTGGCGACCTCCTCGTTGGTAGAATCGTTAAAGAGACTCTACGTCCCACTCTACTCCACTACTGCCCAGGGTCTGGCTTCACTATGTGGTCTACACCTTTGTAATCTGGCCGCATAGACGTGTAACGTTGGACGTGTTCCTGAGTCATTTGAATTCGATGCACCCAAAAATTCAATTAACGAATGAGGTCGATAAAGATAACGAACTGCCAAGGTGTTTTATACCACTCACCATTATCACAAGCTTCTGAACCATGAAGCCATAGAGATTTGAAAAAATCGAACAATTCCGATAGAAAAGAAGAAATCACGAAGATCAAGAAAATATGGTATATCCAATCTAACCCTACACCGCCCGAGCCAATCAAGAAAGTCTTCTCTACCTCTCTTTCTATAAATATCAATGGCAATCAACAAAATGGCTCATTAACGACTCTACCAATGCGGAGCTCGCAACGGAATGCTGCCAATTATCGCTAAAGATACCCATCATAGTTATAGTCGAAACGATCAGAATTTATCTCTCCAAAGAACCACGGTTACCCAGTGTTTCAATTCCATGAGGTCATCAATGAAAAACTTTTCCGATCTTTATAATACGGATTTAAGCTCATATCTTGAGCTGAACGCGAAGTGTTCAAGTGATTTGGCACATTTGATTCCACCAAGAGCGGTACATATAAAAAAAATCGCGACGTTTTGAGGTTCAACTCAGTACAACTTGAACTCCACTGTTTAAGAACTCTTCCATTTGGAGAACTGCTTTTTTGTAGATTAAACTTCCTGAGAACGTTTTTGCAAAGAGATTTGATCTCCAGCTATTCAAATCCAATGTGTATCGCTACTTTCGCATAGGCGCGTACATAATTTTTTGTAGTGCTTGTGTTCTGTCATTAAAAAAAAGTTTTGCGGCCGCTTCTTTTGTTCAACCACCAGATCAAAGACCATCATTGATTTCTGCGCATTCTGCAGAAATTTCATGCTATTCAGAGATTTTCTAGAAATCGCAAAGATTTCGAGGAATTTAGTGAAGAATTGCATGAAATTCTATAAAATTAGTATGTTTTTTCAAAATATTTCTTTTCATTTGAAAGAAATAAAAAAATGACAGTGGTAAGACAAATTTCAGTGGTATTCCATCTCAATGCATATAATAAGTCTGTAATAACTGATCGCTTGTCTTGCAGTTGTGCTAACAGTTTATCCGATTGCGGAGTAGTTTTCACTAATATACTCGTATTACGGTAAACTTTACTCCACATTTAGTATTAGTTTCATTTCAATCGGTTCACAAATAAAAAAGTTATGTCAATTCAAGGAATCATTCAAACATTAGTTGGTGAAAAAATACTGTAAAAATAACGTTCAGTTGATTTGGCTGAAAGTGTGGCTGATTATATTTTTGGTTTGTTAAAATATTTTCATGTAAATCAAAGGTAGGCAAATATATAGGAACATTTTAGTGTTGAAAAATCTTGAAGACCCCACAAATTGAAAGTTGCGAGTAACGGCTAGTTCTCAAATAATTGTGATGGTATGATGCTAGAATGATATTTATTCCAATTTTCAAGAGGTATAATTTGATCCTGAATCTCAATAAATAAAAAACGACAAATGAAAGTGAATTCGTTTTATACAAAATTGTCAGACCTGGTCAGAATTTGATTCCATAGAAACTGGCTTTTACGAATAAGTCATACATTTTTTTGATATGGAAGAAAAAATAAGTTTGAAAAACATTTTTTTCAGTCTTCAGCTGAAAAGCAATAAAATAATTGTTGATTTATGAAAAAGCACTTATCAAAATTTCGCGGTGCGAAACTTCACAGGGTAAATCGTTAGGTCGTTTTAGAAAAAAAGTTCTCATGAACATATGTCAGGAATTGCTTCGTTTCTGAGATACAGGGCGTTCAAGTTTGAAATTATTAGGTCCNAGGAAATTTCCTTCAAAAGTGTCCAATTTGGACACAAACTAGGCAGGGTGCAAAACTAGTTTATTTGGGAATTGCTTGAGCGATGAGAACGAAACCAACAGGAGCATTAGAGACACTCTAGAACTATTTGAAATAATGGAAAAGACAGTGTTTTTGTTGGATCATTTATTCAGTTGAAATAATTCCACTAAATTGTTTCATGAAAAAGTTTGAATGTCTACGCAATCAACAATGCGGTTTTGAATATTGTATCTACGAGTATGTGATAAATATCTTTTGAGATACAAATCAGATAAATATATTTCAGAATACTCATTAAAAATGTCATTAGAATAATCAAGTTCAGAACAAGATTGTCATGTTGACGGCAACGGATCAAAGTATTCCTTATAACGATAATTGTCAAGTAGATAACCCTCAAGTCATACATGTTAGTTATTGATAACATTAGTCGTAGAAAACCGATCTGAATAACTCATCACGTACCAACTAAGATACTTTTTACTAATATGTAATATAAATTTCATTTGCCTTTTTTCAACCAAAAAAATTATATATTAGATATACCTGGTCTTTCACGTAGTTGAATATATTGATATCCTAACTGAACTTTAGGTAGTAGGTACACTATAGACACTATAAAATTGTTGTGAATTATACGTTACTGAATATCTATGTCCGTTCAAGAAAGCTGTTTTATAGCGATGATACACGTGTAGCGGTTTTTGCAAAAGCTATATAGTGAAAATATTGCAATAAATTTGATCAGATATTGTTGGTATGGATTTTCATCACGAATTGGCAATTTTAAAAAAATTAATACTCAAAAAATTTTGAAAAATTTCAACAATTTGTATCTCGAAAACGAATGATTTTTCGATGAACATTTTGAAGGAAAAAGTTGTTCATTTTGAAAAGATCCACCACATACTTAGTTTCTTTAATGTTCTCAACAACTTCACTTAGCGCCCTTTTTTGAAAAATTTCAACAATTTGTATTTCGAAAACGAATGATTTTTTATGAACATTTTGAAGAAAAAAGTTGTTTACTTTGACAGGATCCACCACATACTTAGTTTTTGTAATTTACTCAGCAAAATCACTTAGCAACCTTGGAACTAAGTAATATGCATCGATATAGAAAATTATAATTATCTCGAAAACGATCACCTCCAGCGTTGTTGAGGAGGTGTACCATTTTTACTTGGAAAATTTGTGGAAATTACGTTTTTTCATGAAAAGTACCAAAAGTTTACTGTCCAAAAGTTAGAGCAATTTGAAATATATAATAACAGAGTACTCAGCGCCCTCTAAATATTACATGGAAATTAATACGAAATTATGATTTCCCACGTTAAAAAACCCCGAGTACCAAATTTCGTGCAAATAACTTTTTTTTTGTATAAGTTATTTTTAAAAACGAAAAAATACTCAGTTTCAACATCCTGTATCTCCGAAAAGAAGCATTTCCGGACGCAAGTTTATATAGACTTCTCTTCTTTAAATTGTCTCATGAATACCTACGTCACTTGAATATTTTAACGTACTTATGTTACACCCTGTATATTGTTCAAACAATATTAAAAGTTATGTGCCCGCTTCAGAAGTTTTTTGATTTCGAATAATATAAAAATTCAAATTAACATTTAAAAAAAAAGTCATTAACCTACACCTATTCATTGACGCCACTGAAAGTCAACTTTTTGAAATACAATTCTCTTTGACTATTACTCCCTCTCAGCCGGGAAGAATGGGAAGTGATATAAATAGTTATACAAAGGGGATTTTCAAAGATACAACTTATTTTAATTTATCCACCCCATTTCCACCTCGTCAGAAAACATGAAAAATTCGTATGTGCTATTTCAGCGACATTGAAACCTTCATCTTCATCGTTTTGAGTACCGCCTTCCTGGTTCAAATACATCAGGAACATGTTACACATATTGTTACAATGAAAAACCAGAAAAAAACTAATGTATCCCATGTCCCCGAGGATGAACTCGAAAGTATTCAAAATTTGGCGGAAAAATAGTTCGCCTAAAAAGGATATTAATTCATGCGAAAAAAAAACATTAAATCACTATTTGAAAACTCAATAATTTAAAATACTTCTTCGGAGTTAGCTTTTTTTTTCAATTGACGAAATTAAACAATTCTCACCTTCATCAAAGCAAATTTCTGATCATCGTCTAGGATAATCTTGGCCGGCGGCATGATTCAAAACAAATTTTATGTTGTCACCAACACAACACAATCGAGTGTACTGCCTTGCCTGCTAGTTACTTGATTGATTGTGAAAATCAGCTGAGCGCTCAAAGATCTCAGCTTGGGACCACTCGATGTTGTGTTGTAGGATTTTCCGCACCTAAGGGTATCAGGTATCCTGTAAGTGCGGAAAATGAAATCCTATATTGGTGAAACTAAGAAGCCATTGAATGTTTGCATTGCCGAGCACAAGAAACACACACAGCGAGGAGAAACCAGCAAATCTGGAATAGCAGAGAATGTTTGGACTCATCAAAATAATATCAAGTGGGCTCAAGATGAAATCATCCACAAAGAGGAACACTGGTTTAGGAGAAAATTGAACGTTGTCCAACAACGTATTCAGCCAAGCCAGCGTAGAAATACGCAACACATGGAAACCCATCATCAAGCGAAAAATGGCCAACTCCCGCCAAACGGTCATCTCCCACGGAACCAGTGAAGCGGAAAATGGAAAGCGGGGATAAGTGAAAGTACCCGAACGACCTATAAATAGTCATCTCTCGGAGGAATCAGTCCAGGACACACATCGATTGCTGTCCTTTGTTGAGTGCAGACTTTTTTACCGATTTTTCAGTGAATGATCAGCCGTGCTGTAGTGTTTCTGGCTCGGTGTAGTTCGTGCGTTGTGTTGTTTTGTGCAAACGAAAAACTTTTCTGGTGAGTACGTTTAAATATTTCATTTTCGTTACTTTCTTGGTGCTCAAAGCTTCTAGTTGTTTCAATTTAGTGTTACAAGTCACGGCAGTATGGAGGAACTACTATGCAGCCTGGCTGGGAAGGAGAAGGGCAAGATTATTGGCTTTATAAGTCAATTAATCTCTGCTCTTGGTCTGACTCAGTCGGACTTGCTTGGCAAAGCATTGCCAAGCCCTGGGAACGACCGCCACGTGTTGGCGGATCGGGAACAGCGAGTGGCTAATGCTCCATCTGTGCGTGAGTATTTCTCTGAACGTGAGTTCAGCGGTGATAATGACAATATGAGCGTACTTTCCTTCAATTCCACCGCCTCCAAAAAGAGGCGACTCAACGACGGCTTTCCACCACTACCTGACGTCTCGAGACGTCGAATTGATGAATGGACGAAAAAAGTTACAGTACAAGCGAAGCCAGCTAAAAAGAAACTCAAAAAGCTGAAGAAAAAATCAGCTCTAGAAAGCGTCAGAGACGAGGCTCGGAAGTACTATTCCGAATCCGAGACCTCCTCTCATCCAGTAGCCCAAGATCGGGTTAACGAGGTGGCCACTTCAAGCAAACATAGTACTATCAATGCAGAGATGGACACGAATACTAAAGAGTCCAATGACAGTGCCTCCGAAAAGTCGGAAAATACGATCAAATCCCTACATGACGAGGAGCCCACCCCCCCCTACCCCTTTGAAGCAAAACATCCATCCTACAGCTTCAAAGGCCAAAATCCCACCCATTGTTGTCCGACAGAAGGACAAATGGGTATCGCTGTTAAAATTGACGGCCCAAGAGAATATCAAGTTCTCAAAAGCTGTCAATCTACATGATGGTATTAAAGTCCAGCCGGAGTCTCCTGACGACTATCGGCGTCTGACAAGGCTTTTGGTGAAGGAGAAAATCCCTCACCATACTTACTCGCTCCCTGAGGAACAGCAAATACGAGCCGTTTTCAGGGGAGTGCCAGAGCACTTGGCAGTCGACGATGTGCGTGAGGAGCTCGAAGCAAAGGGCTTTGACCTCACCAGCGTCACGCGCATGAAGCGCGCTGGCAAACCTATGCCTTTGGTCCTTGTTTTGGCAAACAGGGACCAGAAGCATATATTTGAGGTCAAAGGCCTCTTATGTGTGAAGGTTCAGGTTGAACCCCAGCACGCAAAAACTTCGGTGGGCCAGTGCCACCGATGTCAGCGCTTTGGTCACTGCCAGCGCAATTGCTTAGCAGTGCCCATCTGCGTCAAGTGCGCTGGCAGGCACCTAACCAGTGCCTGCAAAAAGGCCAGGACTGACCCTCCGAAGTGTAACAACTGTAAGGGGGTTCACACAGCCAATTACCGCGGCTGTCCCGCGTACCCCAAGGTACAGAAAAAGGGGCAGACAACAACATCCAGTAAACCAGCCTCCTCAGGGAGACCTGCGGGGTCTGGACGCGTCCAGGAGGGGCTCAGCTTTGCAAAAGCTGCATCCAAGGGTGCAAGTACTTCTGCAAAGCCCACCTCCCCTCGACCTGAACCCTCACCTCAGCCTCAGGGGGTTTCAGACATCTGTGCCGCACTGGACCAGATGAAAAAGTTATTCGTCAAATTCCCTGTGCTACAGACAATGTTCACGGTGCATACTAACGTGATGACCGGAACTGCCAATGTCTAGACAACCAATGTTGCCTAGATCTGTGAAGATAGTTTTTTGGAATGCTAATGGCATTCGTTCAAAAAAGTTGGACTTTGAGAACTTCCTAACTGAAAACAACATAGATGTGGCTCTAGTTCAAGAGACACATCTGAGGAACGAATCTATTGTCATTCCAAACTACAGATTCTTTCACAGAGAACGTGTTGGACGTGCTGGAGGGGGAGTTGGCATTTTTGTCAAACGATCCCTGCAGTGTGTCCAATACGGCATTGACAGTGCTCGGTTGCACGGTACTGAGGCCGTGGGGGTCGAAATTCAACTGAGCAGGGGTTGTCACAGAATAATCTCGGTTTATAACCTTCCGAACATCTCTGGATGAACTGCTGATGGGAAGCAACATTCCGACAATTGCTGCTGGCGACTTCAATGCCAAGCACAGACCTTGGAGCAGAGCCACAAATCGAAACGGCCAAGCGCTCCATGCGCATGTTGACAGGCCACCTCCAGGGAGGAGTGTCCGCTGAAGAGCTACAACGAGTTTCCCCCTCGTATCAAAGCCTTGATACGAGAGAGAAATCGCCTGAGAAGGCTCTGTCAGCGAACTCTTTTCCCAGGCGAACAGGATGGCCAACCAAGTCAAACAGGCCATCATTGAGCATCGAAACGAAAGGTGGGAAGAGCTTTTGGAATCCTTCGAACCTGGGAGTGACGAGCTTTGGCGAGTCACTCGTAGGCTCAAGGGGAAGAAGACTGCTCTCTCACCCATTCACGGAGAGCGCGGAGTGTGCTACTCCCCCCCATGACAAGGCGTTAGCCTTTGCAGACACGATGGAACGTCAGTTTCAACTTAACGTTGACTACAATGACGACATCGATCGCAATATGCTGCTGGAAGACCGGGTTCACCGACTCCTCAGGGAGGATGACGACGACGACATCCGACCGGCTTCTATGGAAGAACTGAAGGGTCATATCAAGGCTGCAAAGGCCAAGAAGGCTCCGGGGGCTGACTCAATAACTAACAAGTTGTTGAAGAAGCTCCCGGAAAACTGCGTTGAGAGCCTTTTGAGCATTATCAACAGCTCCTTGGCCCTAAGATACTTCCCCAGAAGGTGGAAACATGCGGTCGTCGTCATGCTCCCAAAACAGGTCCGAGCGAGTGAAGATATCTCTGTACGCCGATGACACGGCTCTTCTCTCATCTTCCATGGGTCGAGAGCTCGGCGTCGTCTACATTCAACGTGCATTGGACGACCTCGAGCGCTGGTACCTCGATTGGAAGATCCGAGTAAACCCGGAAAAGACTCAGGCGATAACCATGGGAAGATTATTATCTTCTCCGGCCAAAAAAGTGAGAATCTCTGGAAGGGAGATTGACTGGCAAGCGCGGGTAAAGTACCTCGGCCTTCTAATAGACCGTAGGCTCACTTGGAACCCGCACATCATGTGCGTTAAGTCTAAGATCGAGGGTCGGATAGCCAGTCTGTACCCTCTAATCAACAGAAAATCAAAAATGAGCACGAAGAACAAAATCATGATCTACAACACGATGTTCAAGCCTGTCATCATGTATGCTTCAGGCGTCTGGGGACAAGCGGCTCCGTCCAACATTTCCATTTTGGAAAGGTTGCAAAATAAGTTAATTAGGATGATTGTGAATGCTCCTTGGTTCGTGCGGAATGAAGCCATCCGCAGAGATGTGCAGCTGCCTTCCTTACGGCAGTCCATCCAGTCGAAGAATCAGAGAGTTTTTGAAAGAACGGAAACTCATTACCCGTTAGTTAGGGAAGCCACAGATTATGCCTTAGACGACCCCTCCCGATATAGAAGGCCCCGACACTCTGCTGTCGAATGAGGCCCTTATGTTCCCCGTTAACGGATGAACGACTTTCTCATCCATCCCACCACAGCCAGGTAGGGGTATCCCGTGAAGGGCGGCACTGATGTCTAAGGACTACATGCCGTCATACCATCAGTCATGTACCCATTGGTCCTTCTTGAGACCAATAATCAGTCGAAAGGGTAGGAGAGCTGGACTCCAAACCTGAAGGAAATGAGGATGACCTTCTGAATCAGTCCAGTCATCACCCGAAGACGGTTGTAGATACTAACGATCGAAACGTCGTGAACTAACGTGGCTTGGAATCTCTCAACTTTTTATTTTTTTCTTTTTCATTTCTTTATTTCTATTTATTTTTTATTCAATTGTTCTATTTTTACTTGTATTTTATTTCACTATTATTTCATTTCAGGTTTTTTTTTGCTTAATATAATTGTTATTTTCAGCTAGGTATTCATTTTTAATTCTTCTTTTTTAGTTGTTTCAGGGATTTCAAATCATTTTATATAGTAGACAATGGAAGTCCGAACTAGAGAAATTCATCATGAAACATTGTCAGTCACCTTCAAACAAACATCAATAAAAATATTCTCGGACAGTCAAGCGGCATTGGAAGCTCTTGGCTCCTACCGAACAACGTCTAAATTGGTAGCAAATTGTCAAAAATGACTATTCTCGATAGGAAGACTCAACAAATTATCTCTGGTCTGGATTCCTGACCATACTGGCCTGAAAGGCAATGAGGCTGCTGACTCCTTTGAAAAGGAGGGTGCTGAAAGCAGCTTCATCGGACCAGAACCTGTCATTGGCATCGCTTTAGGCTTTGCCAAACAAAAATTGAACACCTGGATAGCAAGAAAATTTGTGGACTTCTAGCAGAATCT